ATTCCCAATGAGAAATGTAATTGTGTTGTATAACTACAATGTACCAATAAAAGAATTTAATACAAAAAATAAATATTTTGTATTGTCAATACAGAAAACTGAACAGAACAAAAAAAAAATTGTCTTTTTTTAGAATACTACTCCTCTAAAATCAGTTGATCCCAAACAGTTTTTTTCCCACAGTTTCAGAGGTCTCTATATAATCTGTATTACTTAGAAAAGGAGAAGAGATACCATATTGATAGGAAAATCTGTCATGCCTTCCTTCCTTAGCTTTCTTCATCAGGAAAAAACTACTTCTTTGGTCATATTACTTTCCCACAATGAAAATAAATGTGAAACACTGTTCTGAAAGTAACAGAAATATAATTATTAAACTTTAGAAATGGAACTGTAGGAACAATAAACTGGGGGAAAAAAGTCATTTCTCAGATATGTGAGGGCAACTTCCAAAGGCATACATAAAGTCCTCAGCTATTTGGCAAGTTTGACTTAATACTGTCCTGCCTTTACAGGAAATATTTCTCTAGAGCTCTAAGTAATTTCAAACACCTCTCACATATCTTCCCAATATCTCTGTGACGAAGGTTAGAGCTGACAACTACTATCTCCAACTCATAGCTGGAAAAACTGAAGGTCTGAGTCATTAGAAGGTTAATCCAATAAGACACTAGTCAATCTAGGAGAGAACAGAACCAAACGCCTGGCAAGTGACCTATCATGTTTCAAGCTAGTGGTTACCATAAGACCCAGAGGGAACAAGAGTCTTTGAGGATATGGAATCTGTCAACGAAGGAATGCTCTGAACAGAGTGATGACAATCATACATGAGGTCTACTCAATCAACTTAACTGTTTCCATAAGATGGTAACGTGGGGGAAGTCTTCTGAAACATTTGTCGTTAAAAAGCACTTCGCTACGGTGAAAGATATGCATACTTCTCATTTTTATTACATGTTGTTAGCAAAATACCTCTCTAAGAATTAATAATAAGGACAATACTTTTGATCTCTCAATTACAAGATCTTAAGTTAGACTTGATTTCCATGGAGAATAAAGCACTCATAATCCCAGGCAATGTCATGTATGTACTTTAATATACATCTTGACATGCTTTATGTGGGCCCAGCACTGCTCCAATGTTAAGTGTATTAACTTTAATACCTGAGTGGGCTATCATATAATATCATGGTCGTTTAACCTTCTCACCCTACTCAAAGAAAAAAAAAAATCAACAAACCCTGAAATACTCTTACTACAGCTCCTTGAAGACAAATAAACTCTCATGAAAAAGACATAGCCAGTAAAGTCTTTCCCAGAAAACCCAAAGCAGTAGTTGTCAGAATGTTCTCCCCAGTCCAGCTGAATCAGTTAGAAATGCAAATCCTCAGGCTGCCCCCTAAATGAACTGAATCGGAAAGTCTGGGGCTGGAGCTCAGCAGGCTGTGTTTTAATAAGCCCTGCTGGGGATTCTGATATACATTAAAATTTGAAAATATTGCTTTGAAAAGAGGGCAATATGGAGAGCAGTTCATCTCGTGACAGCTGCACAGGGAAAGTGGCCTAACCACAGATCACAAGTAGTTTCTGCCTCTTACCTCTTGTGGCTTTCCAGTTGGGTGCCTCCTTGCTGTGTTGTAACCTTGTGGAGACTGTGCCACCTGAGTAAGGGTAACATTCTGCAGCTCTGCTTGGTCAGATTTTCGAAGGCTTGGAATCTTATTCAGAGTATCTTTCAGCTGTTTATATTCTGCAACTTGAGTCTGCATAGAAATTGCACAATTGGATGCAAATTGCACAATTTGAGGAGGGAAAAAGATCATTTACAGATGGGCATTTAGGTTCACTGGAAGACTAGACAAACATATTACATCTACATCCAATTAGGAAAATATATAGTTTTCATGCATTGGCTATTCTTCTTGGACATGCGTAACCATTTGAGCACATGCAAATTAGAATCAGTGTTAAAAGAAACAGAAAAAAATACCTAAGTCAGATGTTAGTTTACCATGCTACATTAAACAAAGTTATAATTTTTGTAAGTAACTTTCTAGTATAAATCTTTATTGAAAGCAGGTATGCAATCAATATTTTATCACATTAAAAATCTATTAGAAATTCACACAGTTACACAAATACAAGTGTAGATATCTTTTAGCAATAAGGTCTGAGTGACATTTTCACTGGAAAAGAATCATAGTGTGTGTGTGTGTGTGTGTGTGCGTGCTTGTATGGGTGTGGTGAAGTATTTTTAATACAAAGATCTGGAAAGGTAGAAAACAAATCATTTTTAACAAAATCAGTAGATATTGTGTATACATAACTCATCATATACACCACTGCCATCCTGAAAGAAATGCTATGCACACACACACTTACATAAACACATACAAAGAACAAATCTTTCTGTGAACAAGATCCCCAGACAGGGTGGCCTCCCTCAGTGTGGCCAGCAGAATGGGTGAGTGGAGCTGGGAACAGCCAGGCCTACTGCTGTTACAGCTCTGCATGCTGCCCACTGTGCTTCTGCCTCAGGGAAGAGACACATTTTTGCTTCTCTCTGATTTGCCCCAAAGTGAAAAAGTCTGCTTGCTGAATCTGTGCCAAAGGAATGCCTGTAGTAGGGTTACCACCATGGCTAGTCATGGACCTTATCTCAGAAATCCATCAAAACACTTGCAAACCAACCTTGGAGGTCAAAGAAGACATCCACATAGTGATGCTTTTAATAGTTTAAGTTACATGGCAGAATATACAAAACTCAATTACACTTTTTTTCTCCTCCTAGATATCTAACAGAAGGCAATAAATTCTGTGGTTCTGATATTAAAGATACAGGCTCCTGAGCTCCCACTATAGAAATGATGATTTAAAGGGTCTGGAACAAGGCCTAGGTAATGTGATGTGGATGAAGTCCCAAAACATACACTTAAGTTAAATGTCATTTTGATAACAGGAAGATCTGAGCTTCAGGGATGGGTCTGGTCACCTATCACGGGCCAACTACTTGTAGACTTCCCTTTGGCCTCAGTTTACCTAGTTATAAAATGTTACACACCTTAGTAGATTATGAAGATAAAATAAAGTCAACTATATTTAAAAATCAAGTTGTCAAGACAGAATCCAGAAGATGATTTGTATGAGAAATGTAGACACGTGAACAGTATTTTTTCAAGGAAATTTAGGGAAAGTTCCAATATGGTGTTATAGACTTTATGTTTGTATTTTTCCAAAATTCATATATTAAAATCCTAACTCTCAATGTGATGGTATCAAAAGGTAAAGACTTTGCAGGGTAATTAGGTCACAAGGGTGGGGCCCTCAAGAAGCGGATTAGTGCCTTTATAAAAGGGATCCTCAGAACTCTCCATCTCTTTTACTCTGTGAGGACACAAGGAGACACCAGGAGTCTTCAACCTGGAAGAATCTAATCATGTTGGCGAATCTAATCATGTCAGCACCCTAAATTAGGACTTCCAGCCAGCAGAATTATGAGAAATAAATTTCCACTGTTTATAAGCCACTTGTCCTATGATGTTTTCATGGCAGCTCAAACTAAGACATATGGCTTTAATTATTACCTTAGTCATACCATAACTATTTTTGAAAGGCCAGAAAAAATTAAGAGTACTCTCTCAAAAAAAGACACTTAGAGAAACAAAAAACTATACATATGTAAATGTTTTTCTATTACAGAATCCCATCAGTAATACTGCCAGTGTGCTTACTATAGAAATTAACTTTGGCTGTATTTTCTTATATAGTCATGGATTTTCAGACTGTTGCTTTATCTGACATTTATGGTTATTACAGCATAGAGTATCCAAATCAGTCTGTCACAATTTACAGTACAAAGAACAACCTCGCATAAAATGACACTTAACAAAAGTTTATAAAAAGGCTTGAAATGAAATATCCTCTACAGTCAATTTAATTTATACACATATAAAAAATTACACAGAACCACAGTTTAGTAGAAAGACAAGGAATGACTGTTTTAAAGGTTTCCCCAAACACGGAAGCTACTGCCTCTGAGATGATTTAGGGCCCAACATGTTATATTTTTTGATAATTTCCTAAAAAGAAATAACAGTGCATGTTCTCAAAGGTAGTTGGTTTGTAACTTTGCCCTTTTCTTGTAATTCTTTCAACTGGGAAAAAAAAAGTGAAGATCTAGTTTAACATAGTTACTAAGCCAGCCATTCCCGTTTCTTTGCTTCTGTAAGAAAGCTGCAAAGCTCTCAGCATGGTATCGCTTTAATAAGCTCTCCAACACTTGTATTTGTTCACGTGTTCCTTCAGTAAATACATACTGAGGACCTGCCTTGTGTCAGGGGCTGCTCTAGGCTGTAAACAAATGGAGATTATGACTCTAGTTTTTCCTTCTCTATTGAATCTTCTACTTTTCTGCAATTTGACCAAAACCAGCCACATAAACCTAGTCCCAAAAGAACTGGTATAAGTTTGAATGTTGCAAATGAGGAACGGATATAAGAAAAAAAGTGACAATGATTTATTTAGGTAGCCAGCGTCATAGAGTACTGTAGATCTCATACCAAGAGTTGACACAGATCAGATATTTGTAGAATATTATGTAATAGGAGAATTTCTTGATTTAAATAAGTATTAGACTACTGCATATAGGGGACTGTAGAAGTAGAAACAGTCAAATGCACCATACAATCAGTGCAGAAATAATCAAACGTTTAATATTCTCTTGGATGAATTTGAAAAGCATGCACTGGTTTTAGAATTAGCATAGCTCTTTCTTAAGAAATTCACCAAGGATTGGCTTGTAAGAGACTACATGCATAAAAGAATTTGGAAGTATTAGGCAGACTTTTAAAAGAGCTGACAGAGGCTGCTACCCTTCTAACCTGTGCAGCAGCTAGTGCACTCTTGTGGTCTTCCAAAGTCACTACAAGTTGTTCATGCTCGGAGAGTAAATTCTTATGCTGTTGCTATACAAAAAAGAATTTTACATGTTGAGCTTTACATCATAATGCTAATTCTTTGCTATGAGCTATCTAAACGTTACTTGCTTATTTGTTGCTGTTAACTTTGAAATTACTGGAGAGGGAAGACTAAGATTTATGTAGAAGTCCAAAAATCTAAAATATGCTACACAAATATAACCATTTACAATGAAATCAAAACCAAACAAACAAATCTTTCATTATTAATAAACCTTTGGAGATATAAATATTGTTAAAATACAACCACCTACCCAAAGAATAATATCGGTATTAGTGAAAACATTTAGATTTTCAGACTACATTTTGTATCTCACAATGCTGAAATGGTAAAAATATCAGCTATGCTCCACTTATACAAAGCCCATAGTAACAGTCTGGTTTTGTAAAGCAGGTCAAGTGACTTTCAGTCATTCTACAGAGTAAAGCAGGTACACACCGAAGAACCACACGTCTGATAGCACTTTACCTTGACATCTTGCAGTTGTGTGTGTATGTCTTGGTGTGCTTTCCTCAGCTGTCTATTCTCTTCTCTCAAATTGTATACAGTTTCTATTTTAGAAAAAGAAAAATCACACATAAAGCCTTGAAATTCACAGGCCTTTGATTCTATTAGTTTCACATCTGAAGTATCATATAATTTATTTTATGATTTGTTCTGCACTTTCACAGTATATTACAAATCAACAAAAACTACCTTACATTGCCAAATAGCATGGATTCAGCTAGACATCTTAATACAATCTGGCTCAGGAGTTTAAATACTTTTAAGCAAGCTATTCATTGTAGATGGAAGTCAAGGATTTTTAATTAATCATGAGTTAAATATGAAGTCTTTCTGGCAATAAGCCTTTAGAAATAAAATTAACAGGCTTCAGCTTTGAGTCTCTTCACAAATTAAAAATAAAATCATCAGGAAATATGCTCTATTTCTCATAACATGAATAATTTTCACAGCCTCTAAAAGGCACTTCAATTACAAAGGCAACTCAAGACATAAGAGACAAAAAATCCTACTTATCTGTTTAAAAAAACTCTAATTTTTTCTTTCTTCTACTGAGTTCGTGATTAACCCAAATTCAACTTCAAACAGGCACAAGACAGTTTCTTTCTGAGCTACAATGTGAGACTGTAGCAGTCAGTGAAGTTCTAAAGTCTGCCCTTCCAAACCTTACTATTCAAGGAAAATCTCCCTAAAGATGTTGACCCAATTTTCTTATTTTCTTGGTAATTTTCTGTCATTCATTATATCTGGAGACTGGATATTATGAACCGACAGCTACTGGCCACAGCTACACCATACACATTTTTTTACTTTCTTTCTTTTTTTTTTTTTTGGTACCGGGGATCAAACTCGGGTCCTTCCGCTTGCGAAGCAGGCGGCAGAACCACTGAGCTAGATCCCCGGCCCCAATACACATTTTTTTGCTGGCCCCTGCCATGTTGGCCTATACAGTGTTTTCCATATTTGAATAGTTGTCTCCACTTAAAAATAAAGAAATAGGTCTAATACCAGGAAATATTAGGCCAATTCTCGTGTGAGAACAATCTGCAGAAGTTGAGTGATAATGGGTTGACCACACAATTCATTTTCCAATGGGAGACTCTTCTGAGAATGAAAGGAGGTGCTATCAATAATTTGTCTGTGATAACAAGTACAAACCTGGACTGTACCAGGAAAACTGTCCCTAAGTGACAGTCACCCCCTCAAGACAAGGCTTTAACACTCCACTCAGCATTCGAAGAAAGCGACAATCATTATCTCTCATCAGACTTTATGGGGATTTTTCTTCCCTTATAATTCCTTCTTGACTCCTGGATACTGGACTCATGATTGGGTTTAGGGGAGAGATCAAGAACAAGGTAGAGGGCCGGGGATTTAGCTCAGTGGTTCCGCTGCCTACCTCGCAAGCGCAAGGTCCCAAGTTCGATCCTCAGTACCAAAAAAAAAAAAGAACAAGGTAGAGAATGTAGCAGTGATTGACTATACAGCTACATAAAAATAATGGATTTTCTCAAAGATAAAAACAGGACATCACTGGCAATCCAAGATAACCTTTAGTGTGCCAGTATGTGGACATGGCTTCAATCTTACACACACACACACACACACCACAAACTGCTAGTTTTTAAAGGAATTGCAGATTATACCCTTAAAGGCAGTGGTCTTGTGTCTTTCCTGATTTCATTTGTTCAGTGATGCTAAACATCATGCCTACCTTAAAAGTTGTTATGAAAATTAAATAAGATCATCCACACAAAGAGCTTCACCTGGTACTGACACAAGGTACACATTTGTTAAGTGACAGCTATTATAATGATGACAATGAAGAACAATCATCTAAGTTTAAACATTATCCCCTCACCTCCCCAGGAATTCTGAATTCTGACCTTGTATCAGATTCAACTACCAGCTTGGACTATACACTTTTATTAGCCACCTCTGGCCTGAACTGATCAGATAATACTTTACCTTAACCATCCTAAGCTTTTTAAAGAGTCATAATCAAACAAAAGTGCTGATGTGCAAACTGCTCAAGAAAGTGTCAAAGGCACTATCCATAATTCATTGTTTCAGGTTTCTTTGTAAAATTACTTCTAAAATTGGTACCAAAAACATTGTTGTCTTTCTCTCCCTTCTAAGCCATTGATACATTCTCTTTCTTATGACTAGACTCCTAACATATACTGTATTTCCCCTTTCACCTTGGGTGCCAGGAAGTTCAGAATAGATATGGTTTGACCATTTACTACTCAGAACTCACATACATGTGTCCTCTTTTTCATGATTCTGATTTCTTCTATGTACAAGTTGTTAATTTTTTATTATACATGAATCTTTTTTTTTGAAAGAAAAGTAATAAACAGAGTAGACATAGGAAAACTTATTTTTCAGTGCTATTGCTAAATTTAAATGAATGTACTGAAATATATAACGTTCTTAAAGTAGGCCATCATAGATCAAGTACCTTAGAAAATCTCATTCTTTAATGAATCTACCTACTATCTGTATAATTTAATGAATTACTCAATCAGTAAATGAACCTGATCAGCTTAGCAAATGCTGAACAGTGTATCCAAAACCCAGTGTCTCTTCCCTCTTCGCACAAAGTTGTAGCTTCCTCAGACATCAGTATTCTCTGGTTTTCTCTTTCTTTATACCTGTGAGGACTTCCAGTATTTACTCCTTCTTACTTTTTTGTTTTGTTACGCCCAAGACCCCCTTACCACCTGCCTGTCTCCAACGAGCTAAGGGCCCGACATATCCACCTCTCTTGGATATCATCTGTTGACACTTGGCCCAACTCTATCAAAACCACCTTAAGCCTTTTTAGGATTGCCTCAGTGACTGTCTAATTCCTATATGCCTTTTTGTTATTACTTATTTTTGGAAATACTTATAGACAAAACCTTGCAAAAACAGCATAAGTACTCTGCACCTTGTTTCCCTCCATGATGACATCTCACTAATGTAACTCACAATCCACAGAAACTGTTTACCATTATACCAAGGGCTAGATGATAGATCATATCTGGATTTCACCATTGCTTTTGCACCTGCCATGTACCTTTAAAACTTATTCTCACAATTTTAACTTATTTAGGACATACGTATTTCATTGGAGAATGCACTGGTTTCTTTTTATAAAACTCTTATGTACTCAATGAAGTGGTGCATTTTTTTCCATATTGCTGTGAAAATTCCTGATGCTGATACTGATGACAGTTATTGCACTATACACCAATAACTATTCTAGATGCTTTACATAAATTATTCAATCTTCACATCAATCCTATGAGGTTGATACTTTTCATGATTATCCCAATTTTACAGATAAGGACAATGAAGCTCGTGGTGATTATATAACTTGCCCATTGTCACATAACTAGTAATTCAAGCCAAGAGTCACAGCAGTCTGAATAGGGAGCCTGAGCTTTTTGCAGCTCCTATTAGCAAGCAACAGAAATCTCTCTGCAACCTTGGGGATGTTTAGAAATGTGTGAAGCAATTTCTAGTCATAGCAATAACTGAGGAACACTCAAGGCCTTTAGTGTGCAGGGAATCAGAGACACTAAATGTCTCATAACACACAGTAAGAGAAAAACTGTCTTGCCCAACATGGCCATATGTACCACTGAGATAGAAGAGGACACAATAAGTTGGTCTCTTCTGCTTCCCTAAATAAAACTGAAGAGATAAAAATAGACTATAGGATACATGTAACAAGATTTACACAAATAAATGAAAAGTATATTGTTTTATTGAAACAAATTATTAATTAAACAAACAAATTACTAATGCCTAATAAGATTTTCAAATACCTTTTAGCTTAGAAAGTTCTTGTTCTTTTTCTTGCTGAAGCTGCAAGTATTTCTGCTTGTGGTCATTGAATGTTCTACTGAAGTCTTCCCCTTGTTGGCGATGTTCCTCTTCCAAGTCACTGTGTTGTTTCTTCAACTCCTCATGTTGACTCTGCAATATAAAAACTTGAGCAGAGTTATATATTCTCTGAAGTATACAAGACCGTTTCTTGACAGCATGGCCTTTATCTTGCAAGAAAGTAAGAATGAACGAAAAGGTAGTGTTCATTTTCCCCAGACTGCTCTCCATTTGCAAAGCTTCCTTCCATTTCTATGTTTCAAATGAATATGGAAATAGTTTTCCCCTTTATTTTTTCTTTCCGCTGATACCAGGGATCGAACTCAGAACCTTGTGCTTGCTAAGCAGGCATGGTGCCACTGAGCTAAATCCCTGGCCCCTTCCCCCTTCCCCTTTATTTTTAATATTGATGCTAAAAATAAGAAGTTAACATGAAAGATGAAAAAAGAGGTGATTTGGGGAAATTCCCAGACACTGGATACTGTGGAAACAAGGTAAAGCTAATGCCAAAACTGTCTTCCACAGGCATTATGGAATTTCTCTTTCAGCCTGATACTTTCCCATCAACCCACAGTGGTCCCTTGGTATTCGCAAGGGATTGACTCCAGGACACCCTTCAGATACGCAAATCTGCAGATGCTCAACCCTCTTAAAGTCGTAATATTTTTATTTAACATCTGCATATTTAAAAACATCTCTAGATTGTTTATAATATCTAATACAATGTAATGTTGTATAAATTGTTGTATTATATTATTAATGAAACAATGACAAGAAAAAAAAACTAAGTTCAGTACAGTTGCCCCCTTTTCACCAATTATTTTAGAAATACAGAGGTTAGTTAAATATACAGTGGATACAGAAAGACAACTGTATGATTTTCCTTTTTAGGTTTTCAGCTTCTAACCTGACTCTAATCACAATTTAGCCAAACTCTACAGTCTCCAAATCTGAAGGTAAAAAGATGGTCTGCTTTAAGTCATGGACTGCATTCTTGATTGTTAAAAAGGTTCTGGTTTCAACTGAAGGCCTGTGCCCTACTGATACAGGGAAAAGGGGAAACGCCACACCAAAAGTTGCGGGACTCGGCGGGGTGGGCGCAGTGGGATGACTTGCATGCTATGCGGACTGGCCTGCTGCTCATCTCTTCTAATTTGACAGAAAAAATAACTTGCTCTCTTTTTTATTTTTGGTTTTCTTGGCACACAATAATAAGTTTTACTCAAGGATTAAGGAAGGAGAATCTTTAAATAACAAACTGCATTTTTGTGGTAGGTAAAAATACATTTATTAAATATTGGTAACACAAAGGAAGCACTTTAACAGTTTCATAGCTTCTCATCTGTCTAAGGTAAAGAAAATGCCCATGGAAAATTACTATGAGAAACTAAAGAAACAAACAAAAAAACTTTAAAAATAAAAAAGAACAATTAAAAAATTAGATAAAAGAAGAGCCAGGGATGTAAGAAAATGGGTAATAATATTAAGTATGCTCTCTGTAAATGGGTAATAAACATATTGAGGCATTACAACTATCTGTAGTTTTTAGCCAATACATAATAACATAGCAAAATCAACTTTCTGTAAATGTTCTTCAATTACTTTAAAAATTATCAGTCAGTTCAAATATTAGCTAAACCTTTATTTCATTCATAAAGAACAATTTAAATTACTCACTTTTAACATCTGATGTTGGACATTCAGTGCACTGTATCTGCTATTGGAGTCTTGCTGTAAATTGAAAAAAAAAGTCAACAAAAGAAAACTAATCTAGTTCTCTTTCTAAAGACAGCTTCAAATTCCTAATGAAAGATTTTCATTTATTTCATTCATGTAATCTAAAATAAATTCTAGGCCTGAACCAGGGTATCTCCAAGGCCATCTCTTTATTTAATAGCAGAAATGAAGTTTCAATATTCTCATAGGTTTGCCACATTTCACTAATGAAAATGCAGGACATGGAATCATAAAATAATAAGTTGGCAGGGCCCTTAGATATAACTCAGTTCTTCTTCTTGTATTTTAAGGAACTCAGGCTCAGACACAGGGAGGAACCCAGAAACACACACTCACCACACATGGCTAGTACATTGTGCTGGTGCTCCAGGTAAGGAGAAGGGATACATCAGCTAGGACCAGGCCTCACAGATGTAGCATGACTTAAGGGAGGGAAGAAAAAAGGTGCTTTCTTCCCTCAACTCCAGTGGGCAAGAAGTTCCCCACGAGACTGATTTATAGAGACGCTGAGAAGGGGTAAAGCGCATGTTCAGGGCGAGCACTTTATTAAGCAGCAGAGACAGGACTGGACCCTGAGCCCATGGACTCCATGTACTAAATCTGTATCTCTGTAGTCCACTGCAGCACCTGCACAAGTAGACCTCACACATTCCCACAGCCTTGGGCACCGGTAACCATCAATACACAGAGGACACCTGCAATGTTCCCTCTCCTGTTGCCATGTTGATTTACTTTTGTATAATACATCTCCTGTTTTCCTCTGTCCCATCAACAAAAGTACACACTCATAAACTTTTTTCATATTTTCACAACTTCTAAAATGAACTATATTTTTATCATTTTGTTTTACCTCCTTACTACTTTAATTTATAAGGAAATTACATCACCAAATATACAACAGAATAGACAGTTTTGGTTGGAGCTTTTATCTTTTTTTTTCTTTTTCAAAATGGACTATATGCTTTTAGTTTTTATCATTAACGAAGTTTATTCATTTAATTTAGATATACATAATGATCACAATCATCATATGGAATATATCGTTCTGATATATAATATATAATCTGATATATTAGTATTATAATGATATATTCTGATATATGCTATATTGTTATTATTACATTCTGATTATTTTTTTCCCATTCCCTTTCTCTCCTTTCTACCCCCTCCCCCTTCTTATTTACAAGACCTTTGTTTCCATTTATCTTTCTTTTTCTTTTCCTTTCCTACCTTTCACTCTCCCTCCTCCTCTGTGCACTTTCCCATTTTCAGAGCTAAAAAAGCTGACAATCTCCCAGCCAAGTCAAGAAACTGACTTTTCCCAGTTTTAGTACCCCTGAACCCCAATGTTTTATTTAATTAATGCTACACATTTTTCTTAGAAGAATGACTTGATTTTCTCCAGTTAATTTGGACTTTAAACATATTTTCAAATGCCAATTATCATTCCTTCATTCATTCTACAAGTGTTTCTAAATGCCAACTCTAGGCCAGATCCTGTGTTAAGACGCTATGTTTGCTAAGGGAAACAGAAGTATTGCATCCCATGGAAAAGAGAGACTACAAATGAATAAATGGGTGAATAAAAATAATTTTCTTTTTCCTGTTAATCACTGATACTATTCCCAATTTACTATTATCATCAGTAATGTTATAAGTAAAGGTAGGTTTTTAAAGAACAATTTTAAGGCCTTTTCTGTAGGAAAAATAGGTATGTCACTCCTAGAATCCTAGTGATCAACAAAGTAAAAGATTTTACAGTTAAATTCCCCTCTCCTTCAAGTTCGATAAAAAGAAATTAAGAAATTATCAGGAAGAGAAAAAACCTTACCCTTCCTTTATTCAGTGTTTCTTGTGCTTCTAACTTGTAAACAAGGAAATCTAGAGAAAGCAGAATGGAGACAACAGAAGGTAAGTTAATTCACTGTGGAATTTTTAAACATTTAGAAGAATAAAGAAAAATTTTATTCAGACTTGCAAAACATATTTTCAGCTTAAATTAATCTACTTGGTGATTTGTATAGTTTATTTTGCTTCTCAATGCTTTATAAAGAGTTGAAGAAAATATTATGTCATCCTCTTTTTTACCTTATAGCTGTAAATCCTGCATCAACAAAATCCGTGATATAACCAACTAATTGAAAGTACATTTAGAGTATCACTATGACTGATTGTTTCAAACTGAAGAGGAAAAAAATGGAGCACATCTTAAGGGTGATTTACCGTTCCCCAACAGACAGCATACCAAACTCCTTCAGGGCCTGAAAAGAGAAACTTAGCCATCCAAGCTATCTGCAAAACTTTATTAGCCACTAGATGGCTCTGTAAAATCACTCTGCGTTTGAACACAAGGAAAATTCCAATCCTCTCAAAGCACTTTAATTCTGTTAACTTTCATTCCTCACACAGGCACAGTCTGGGCATCCTAACCATATTGACCCCCTTTCTCACCCTTCTCCTACTCAAGCAAGCAATTCAGACAACATCTCACTTAAATTTCAAGATTTACAACAAAACATGGATAAATAAAAGCAAAAATGCAGATAACTTCAAATCATAAGTTGGTGAAAGTCTGCATTTTTAAAAAAATGTTTTACATAAATCAATAGCACTGCCTTATCCCTTCCTCCAATAATTCAAACTGAATCAACTGGTTGTACCATTAAAAGCTCTTAAGAGATTAAAACCAGTATTTAATTAAAAATATATGAAATAGTGTGACCAATTCCTTATAAATGTGTGTCTCTGTGTGTATTATAAGTGCCACATTCTGAACAGTGCACGTTGTTCTCACATCTGTGGATAGAATTTCCAGGTATTGGTTAATATACCTATGTATATTCAGATTAAAAGTTATTATTTTTGAAATAGTATGTATGACCTATGTATGGACCACCTCAAGCTGGCACAAACATGGTGAAAGAATCTAAATGAAATCTCTAGTAGGAATTATTGCACAACATCTAATATATTTCTTGACATCTCTTTTTCTGTTCACCTATAATATTGGCTTCAAATTGGTATGAGAAATAGCTTAGCAAAAAGAAATCATAAATCAAGTACATGATGTTTCAAAGAAGAGTGTGTGAAAACCAGATCACAAATTACATTATTTACTTACCTTCCTTTGCTTTCTTATGCTCAAGTCTTTCCTTTTGTAAAGATTTCTCTAATCTTGATCTGTGTTCATACACAACTGGAAAAAGAAGAGTTAAAGTTTGTCTTCAAAGAATTAGAAATTCTAAATTCAAATTAACATCAATTTTCAAAACAGGAAGAAAGCAGTGTAGGGCTCTTTCTTATTCAATTAAGCAAATGTATTTAAAAGTTCCACATTCTGGGTAATGAATAAACATCTTAATAGGTATAATTCTGGGCTGACTCCCAGATAGTCTCCCCTTTTCTAGATCAAACACTCTGATATACTGGCCTCCTTTGCCAGTGACTTTTCCTTCTCTTGCCTCTTTAATGCAAGTGTCTCTGTGAAGTTCCTTTTCTCTATTCTGTACAGCAGTTACCCCCATGACTGTATTGCAAGCCCTCACCTCGCTGGTGGGCTAGAGAAGAGTATTTCCACTTAGCCCATAAGTTCTGTAGAGTCAGAGGGATCAGCATCTGAATTAAGGCTGCTTGGAACAATAAGTGAAGAACCTCAGCACCACACCACTGGGATGAAAGACAAGTGTGTTCCCACCCTGCCCTGTCAAACCAAGTAAGTGAGAGATGTAGAGAAGTGAGGAAAAAGGGACTCTCCAAAGAACTTATAAAAGTGCCCACAAAAGAATGAGTCAAGTTCACCATCTCCTATTGTCAAACCAATGGCAAACCAAGATCAATTCTCTAAGACCTTCCTGAAGTCCCTTCTCTCTCCTGAAGAGCCCAAGAGTTCTTGGTGAGCCAGGGAGGAAGTTAGAAATGTAGCAGGGAACCAGGAAAAGAAGCCTGTAACAGGTCTCTTCCCCACTCAGACTTCACCTCTGCAGCAAGCAGAACCTGCAAGAGACAGAACTCTTACCTCTGAATGAGTAAAATATGTCTATTACATCGAACTAGACCAGACATCATAAGTGCCAAACTGACTCTGTTTATAAGTTATTACAAGCTTTTGAAAAGCTATCGAAAAGCATTTTGTTTCTTTAAAATCTGAGAGAAGCCAGAGAAGTAACCAAGTCTGTTTCAAGTGTCATCCAGAAAACTAGGCTACACAATGTGGTTTGAACAGGCAATGAGGGGAGAGGATAAATTAAATTCCTGATCTACCCTTTGAATCCTGTTTGTTCAGCATTATGTCAAGTGTGATCTCATTCCCTGGCAAGCTAAGCCAAACCTGTTGCCCTGTCTTTTACCAGACACAAGCTCCCCATGGCTGAGTACAAGTTCATCATCAATCAAAGCAGCTCACATACAATACACAGAATGGCCCCAGCACTACCAGCTACCCAGAGTTGTCATGGTGCCCTGTGACTTGCCTCACCCAGCCTGCTACACCCCTTTGCTGCTGAAAGGGTTCCCTGCCTCTCTTCCTCCTCTTTTCCAGGTAACTAGCAACTGTTGTCCTCTTTCCATTATAGCCATCATCTTCTGTGTCCTCTACTTTCTCTACATACTGCATCTCTCATCTAGTCATTCTATATACACCTTCCATTTTCAAGGGTCCATGTGCTACTCACGGACCCTAATCCCTACTCACTCCCCTGCTAACATCTCTGTTCACAACCCTTGAAATGTCTGTGACTACCCAAAATGGCAGGGTATAGTCCCCTGATGGCATGGTTGCCCCAATCTCATTTTTTCCTTGTCCTCAGTTAGTCACTGGAATAAGTCTTTTCCCACTCCCCTCCTTGGCCATAGTGTTTATTCTAGTCACATGATGATCCTTTCCCCTGGACTATTTTGTAAATGAGTTAAATGCAACTCCGGATTTGTGCAGCTCCTAATTGGACAACGGTGTGAAACTGGACTAAATGTAGTTATGTTTCAAAATGCTAGGTTTTAAGCCCACTGCTTATTTAAGCCAAGAGATTTCTTGGATTGATATTAATAGCCCCATCATGAATGATTTTTTGGAGTAAGGCAATAAAAGGATAACAATTACCACTACAGAAGTTCACTAATCCAAAATGCAAACTCAGCCTTTGAGAATTTCAGTCAGGGGTGGGAGATACATAGAGAAAGAGACAAATCAGAACATTTTCATGATATAACTGAGGCAAGAACAGGGTCCTTAAGTGGGAAAGAAAACAATTCTATGCTCCTGGACACTTCTGTCCAGTGTTACAGAACTTGAAGTGCATCCTGGACAGAAGTATTCAGGAACATAAGACATGCCAGTACAAAGGGAACCTGGCTGTACTCGCTGCTGGGTATATTACAGACTGGACTTCAGCAAGCATGTGCAACACTTTCCAGGAAAGAAGTAAGGATAGTCAAGATCCTCTTGAAACAGAGCTGGAGAAGCAGCAATGGGTTCCAACTCTGGTGGTCTCCTGAATGGACCATTAGGGAGAAACAAGCCCAGTGTAGCAATAACAATAAGAATTTTTAAGAAGCATATATGGGGGGACAGATGCTCACCACTGTCCTCATCACATCAAGCTCTAAACAGTACACAGTATTATGGATGGTAAAGTATAGGGAGAAAATCTGAATCTAAAAGTACAATCTTGTGTTCGCTTCGGCAGCACATATACTAAAAGTACAATCTTGTGAAAATTATACTTAATATAACACAGTAATAATCATGATAGTCTCACTGTTGTGAGTGTTATATGGTACAAGATAATTGGGTGGTGATTATTTTTGGCCAAGCAAGGAGAAAATTCATCAGCACAGTATCATCTTCATTAAGAGGGGAAAGTCCCTTAGATTAAACCATATAGAGAAGGAGTTTGGAAAATCTACATAAGAAAAATGATGTGGGAAGGTGGAAGATGGTATTTTATTCTTTATTCTCTCCCCTGGGATTAAGTCAGAAAGACCAATGGCTGGTCAGAAGTTCCATTTATTAAGGTGAATCATATAATTGCCTTTTCCAGTCTTATACTCAGTGAGAATTTACACCTTTAAACTATTCATATCAGTGTGTGTGGAGAGCCAGGAGATCTAAAATACATTGTAATGAACTTTTGTAACTTAGATAAAACCTGTGGAACACACATATAATGCAAACATATTTGTTGGTTATGGTTAAAATTCAAAGACACCGGGAAATCTGAGGCATGTGGATGAACACACAGAATGGAACCACTAATTGCAAGCTTTATGGCCAGACTAATGTACTTTTGCAGATATGGTAGAAAAAAAGATGTGGCAAACAGGAATAAAGGATGTTATTTAGAAGCCACAGGGAGACGAAGGGCATAATATTGGGCTGCAACAACCCATCCCATACTTTCCTACTAAAAATTTGTACTTTAGCATAATAGTAGCCAGCTGTGCATTCCAGTAGCCTGCACCTGGGGGATATAGGAAGCAATCTTTGTGTTTACCCACTTGGTGTCATGAATGGCAAGTTGTGTGCATGTGTCCAGGTGTCAGACCGGGATTTTTAGCCACATAATGCTTCATCTAACAAGTTTTGTGTATGTTTACCTGAGCTTCACAAGGAGTAAAATATATGCACACATCACTCTTCTGTTATGAAAATGTGTATTTTATCATAAGGGAATGTGGGTGTGATTCACAGTAGCTGCACCTGGGGAAGAGATATAAACCCATCTGTGCCACTTGGCAGATGAACAGCAAGTTGTGTACAGGAGCTCCAAATTAGCAACAGGTCAGTTTTGCCCATGAAATGCTCACTGCTAAATTTCTGTGCATTTAGGAATTTTTTATAAAAGTTTTCTTTTGATTTTTCTGGCTGAAGTAGCCCAATTCAGTACAATGGCACATGAAAAACCAGATTTGCAAGTTTTGGAGGAGGTCAAAAGTGAATCATCAGATTACTCATGTATAGATGATGAAGATAATGACGTTGATGTTGCCCATGTGAGCCAAAGTTCCTGTGACAGTGTAATGGAGCAAAAATCGATTAATACAGACACAGGGAATGCAGACCTCCTTGATTCAGATGACAATGAAAACAGCAATGTGAGTGCATACTTGGCTAGTCGAAATGTGGCAAAATGGTCATGCAACCAAATGGAACAATCCAATGTTAGAACTAAGTCTGAAAATATAGGGAAGCCAGGACTGCTATTTAACGTTGAAAATTGTAAGAGAAAAAATGCTACAAGATGTGAAATACACAAAGGCTGAAATACAAGTAAAATATTGTGTCCAATAATAGCCGTATTCAAAAATGCATTTATTATGACACCTCTCTAGCTGAACTGAAAGCATTCATAGGTCTACTTAGCAGGGATTTCTCATGGTAATCACAAGAATATAAAAGACTTACAGAAAAGCAATGGTTCAAAATACGGCATAAAAGAAATCTAAAGAGGGAACAGGTCGAAAAAGAAGACAAAATGGCATGAGAAAAACTTCTTAAAGCAACTCAGATGGAGCAAGTCAAAGAAAAGGAAAGCTATGAAGGAGAATAGAAAGCCAACAGATGATACAAATACTCTGAAAAACTCGAATCTGCCATTCAAGTAATGAAAACACCCTAAAGGAGACAAGGAACAGGATCTACTGTAACAAAATCAGCAAAATAAAATGCAAATAGCATGATAAATAACCTTGCAACTGTCTGCTGCAAGATGTAAGCAAAAAAAAAAAATTATGGCATAAAAATTTATGCCCTTGTAGATGTGAAGACTTACTATGTTTTCAATTTAGAAATGTATCCTGGAATTCAGCCACCAGGTCCTTATTTGTATAGTAATAAACTGAATAAACTTTACTGCTAGGTGCACATTGTGCAATATAGTAGGAAGCTCCTGACAAAACAGGAAGAGAAGAGGGGTGACAAGAATGGCCTGGCACATAGGAAAGGAAAGCTAAGCACATGTGCTGTCAGTGTGAGACGTATGCATGAAACATGCAGTTGTCATGTGTAAAGACTACCTTGAGTATCTTAACAACTGAAGCAAATATCATTTTTGTTGTAGAGTTTGATTGGTATTTTCATTGTAGTTCATACAGGAATTTATTTCTGATGTTATCTTTAAGATTTTGTAAGCAAGTACACAGTTGATGTGAAAATGTTGATGTTTGTTCTAAATGAACAATACATATTAAGAATACTTTTAT